ATAAAACCTATTCAGATGACAGTTTTTCCTAAGTCGGAAATTGGAGCAGCTTTTAGATACATGGCAAGTGGAAAACACATGGGAAAGGTACGTTTACAACAATTAAACATATCTTTCAAATTATTATTAAAAAGTTGTGCGTAACACGTAATAAATTTTATATTTTTAATACAATGATATGTTTATAGATTATTTTAAATATACAAGAAGATGGCAAATCTTTGGATTCACCTGTTGTTGCATACCGTCGTTATTACTGCTTCAGCGATAGAACTTACATTATACTAGGCGGCTTGGGTGGATTTGGTTTAGAGTTAACTGACTGGCTCATACTTAGAGGCGCTAAGAATATCATACTAACTTCAAGAACTGGAATAAAAAACGGCTATCAGCGAATGAAAGTTGAATCGTGGAAATCATACGGTGTAAACGTGCAGATAGTTAAAAACGCACATCTTGCTAATCCCAAAGAATGTGAATCTTTTCTACAAATGGCGGAAAAGCAAAGACCAGTAGATGCGATATTTAATCTTGCTTTGGTTATGAAAGACTGCATTCTTAAGAACCAAACCATGGAAACTTTTACGGAATCTTTCATACCAAAGGCCTGGACGACACAAACGTTTGATAAACTATCGAGAAAGATCTGTTTAAAACTTCGACATTTTGTAGTGTTTTCTTCTTTTTCTTGCGGAAGAGGGAACGCTGGGCAAACTAATTATGGAATGACAAATTCGATCATGGAAAGAGTGTGCGAAAAAAGAGCGGAGGAAGGATTGCCCGGATTGGCAATTCAATGGGGACCTATAGATGATGTAGGTTTTCTCGTTGACATGCAGAAAAACAATAAAGAGTTAATTCTCCACGGTACTCTGCGGCAAAAAATATCTTCTTGCTTTGTAGAACTCGAGAAATTTTTGCTTCAAAACCGACCGATCGTAAGCAGCATGATTGTAAGAGAGAAGGAAATGGGTTTATCCGGATTATACAATGTGGTGGAAACCATTGCTAATATTATGAGTAAGAATTAACATATAGATTTTTTTCTGTTATAGCCTGCTTAGAACATTATAACTTCTGCATGCATTATTTATTTATCGCAGCATCCCAAAAGTCATTGTTGCACACCCCAATGTATACACGAACACATACTTGCTGTACAATATGTTATCAAATTTTTTTTCATATAATATGATAAGTCATAATATTCCTATGAAATTTATATTGCAGATATCAAAAATATAAAAGTAATAAGTCAAAATATATCTTTGGCTGAACTTAGAATGGATTCCATGATGGCTGTAGAAATTAAACAAACTGTAGAACGAGAATTTAATATTTTGTTGACTGCACAAGAAGTACGGAACCTCACATTTGCAAAACTAAATAAAATATCTAATGTAGACGTTAATCAAGATACTATTATAAACTGAATTATTATAAACTGAAGCAACTGATATGAATAAGCTGGATCTTACAAAACTTAGTTATTAAGAAACTGAATCACGAATGGTGATATTATAAACAATAGTTTAAGAATTTTATAATTCTTAAACTTTATTAATTTATTAATTTATTAAACTTTATTAGTTTATTAATTTTACTTTTTACTGGGAACGGAATCTGGTGCAATCTTTTGATGTGGAGGAGTGGGCAAATTATTATTATTATTATTTAAAATTTAATCTGTGGTTTAAAAATTATTTAATTATAGAAAAGATATTCCCAAACGTCCGCTACAAATTTTTGTCAACAGTAAGATTGTGACTGCAGATTGTATACAAAACCTGTTACATCAGTTGATGACAGCAGAAATGTTACAAAACCTGCTGACATAATTTGACAGCAGATCAGTAGCAGAAACCGAGCAGAATTTGCTCGGAATTATTACAGCAGATTGGCGGCAGAAACCGAGCAGAATCTGCCGTCACAATTTAAATGAAATAGCGGCATTTAAATGCTTTATTACAATTTTACATTTCTCATTTCATTTATTAAAAGTAGTAAATAAGGTATGCAAAGTATGTAATATATATTTGCTTTATTGGAACAAAAAAAAATACTTGTTTTAATAAATTTATTAGACCAAATTCCGAAATCACTGCGGGTCAACTCACGGTGCATTTTCAATTTCAAAAATCAGTTTAATATTCTGAATCTCTTATAAGGATTGTATCAGATTATTGTATTAAACTGATAAGCCTAATTAAGCCACTGGCCACACTTTTATGCACTGTAGATGAATCTTGAGTACGAGTTTATACCTATATCAACTTTTTAATAAAAAAATGATATTAACATATTCTTAAAAAATAAAAAAAATTTGGTTTCTTTACTTCCGATGCCTAGAACGGCCGCAATCAGATCACCCGATTGGATAAAAATTTTGAGTGTTATATATTTTAATTTTGGGTGTTATATATGTATTTTTTTATAATAAATTATATTTACAGTCAGTTAAGAAAAAATTTATGAAAAAATAATACATAGTAATACACGCAATTAAGTACGAAACATTTTGCACAGATTATATAAATTGTCATGGTAACGTAATATTATAATAAATAACACCTGCTTACACTAAAATGGAGGCACAGGAAAAATTAAAAGAAAATGAATCGTAATAATATATTCTCCAATTTATCACCGGCAGACAGAGGCAGAATAGTGAGATTGCACCAAACAAGACGTAAAAAATCAGAAATTACAAGAATTGCTAGATGCACTCGTCAAACTGTTGTATTATGAGTTAAAAACATGAAGAAGGAAGAATGGAGAATCTTGAGGATCATAGAAAAAATAATTGTGCTCCACATAAAACTACATCAGAACAGAATGAGGAAATAATAAGAGCTGTAGACGAAAATCCCTTGAATCCAGTCGCATACGTTTTAAGGAACAGGGAATTAGATATTTCTACAGAAACCGTTAGACGCCGTCTATGTGCTGCAGGTATATACTCACATCCTGCAGCAAAGAAAATAGAACTCAAGCCACAACATAGGATGGAAAGAGTACAATTCGCAAGAGTATATTTGAATATACCTCAAGAGAATGAAATGCCGTCATTTGGATGGACGAAAAAGTATTTTCATCCTCAGAAGATAGACGACGTAGAGTCTGGCGACCAAATGGATCGCGTTTAAATCCCAAGTATGTTATCCCATCAGGAAATAGCGGCAGAATCACATTAGGATTCTGGGGAAGTATGACTTCAAGTGGATTGTTAAATCTACAAGAGATATCTCCAAGAATGGATGCCGAAGAATACGTGGAAATTCTTCAAGAAGTGTTAAAACCTGGTATTAGAAGAATTTTTCCGGAAGAACAATATCCAGTTATAAAAGTAGTGCAAGACAATAGTGCCGTCCATACATCAAGATTGGTGCAAGATTGGTGCAAGCATGAGAGTTGGTGAACTCCGAAAAGAAGCCTTACGGAACAATGTGCATCAAGTGTGGCAGCAATTATCGCAGCAACAAGATTTCGCGCAAAACTTAATCAACTCAATGCCAAGAAGATTGCAACAAGTTATAGACAATAACAGATACTGGATACTGGATATCTATCTAATAATTTTTCAATGCCACTTTTATAAAATTCTGTTAATTTGCCATCAAAAAAGCCATTGAGACACATTTTGATATCTTGGAAATTATTCAAATTTTTCCCACCCAAATAATATTGCAAAGATTGGAATAGATGGTAGTCTGATGGGATAATTTCGGGAGAGTATGGGAAGGATTAGTAAGGATTTCCCAGCCAAACTCATTTAATTTCTGGACGGTTTGCATTGCAACACGCGCATTATCCTGATGGAACACTATTCCTTTCCGATTTATCAATGCCAGTTGTTTCGCTTCCAGTAAAAATGTTATAAGAAATGACGGAAATTATATTACTAATTGTTTGGGAATTTCGCCGTTTCCAAAATATCCAGTTAGACATCAACCACAATGTTATGATTGTTTTCGACAGGCACAATTGCGAGACGTAAACATTTTGAATTAACACAAAACACAAAACATTTATTACTTTTACAATACTTTTACAAAGCAAAATTATACATGTTTACTCAATTGAAAATAAACTGTAAACGACAACAACGGTTGCTAAGAGAAGAGATTTTATATCAATCGGTTGCTAAGACAACGATCAACAAGGACAGACGAAATATAACATATGAAATAGTCCATGCAAATAAACCATCCCCTTTCACCGCAAGCTACTCGATCCACTCGCGAATGAAAGATAGCTGGTCATTACCTTTATCAAAGATTCCACTCTTAAAAAAGGCATGAAAGATCGATACTCGAATGTATCGAAATCTCGAAAGTATCGAAGTTTATTGCTGCATTTTTATCTTGACGCTGATTGGTTATCTCAATGTTGTATTATATTTTGACAGTTCATATTTAAATGGTTGTTAAGGCAATATTGATTAGCAATTTATTGATTAGCAATTTATAAATGTTTCTATGATACTTGTTTACATTTTCAAAAGCTGTCAAATTGTACAGACGTATTCTCTGTTATTTTTTTAAAAAGAGTGAAAAAAGAGTGAAAAAAGTGAAAAAAGGAGAAGGAAAGGATAAAAGGAAAAGTAAAAAAAGGTAAGTAATAATTTTAAAAATTCTCATACCTATAGCGCGCACTACTTCCAGTACATGCTTTCCTCTCCGTATTTATTATTTGTCATTTCAAATTAATATGCTTTCGCTTCTTGTTAGACATTTATTCTTTACTTAAATTTAAAAGAACTGCACCGCTGTGATCTATCCAATCATTTTGTTACATGCTACATTTTGGTAACTGCACATTGCATAATAATTGTATAATCTTAAATTACACAAATTTATCAACTTTTTAAACACTATTTTTGATGCATGATTAGCATTATGATATAATTTTAATGTAATAAATTCTTGAACATAAAATAAATTCTAAATTATTGTGGAATAGCAATTAAAATATACAAAATATACAGG